TAGAGAAGCGGNTGACACGGATATGTGAACTTGTACAAGTGATGTGTGAACTTGTACTTTTGTTTTTTATGTTGTCTTAAATTGTTAACCAACCAATACTGGTAAAACTTAGTAATACTGGTAATACTAGGATATATTAAACAACCACAACAAAAGTCTTACACAACCAAACTAAATAGAAGTCAAAGCGAAGTCTTACACAACCTTACACATCCAAAACAAAGACAAGTCGTACACAACCAAAACATAGAGAAGTACTAGATCTCACGGCGTAGAGAGAGGCTTAAAAATCTTATCGTATCGAGCCACAAAACGAGCCAACTCTTCTTTCAGCTTACCAATCTCTTCATCCTTGTTTTTCAGCTCCAAACGCATTTACCGTATCAGAAACTCATGGTTTGCCATGTCTCGAATCCTCTTGGTGTGCTCATCAACCTCCGTTGTTAAACTTTCCACCTCTTCTTCGATAGAACGATCCCAAGCTTTCCTAAGGTGGAAGCCATCATTCTACACAGAAATACATATATAGCATCACAAATAACTCACATCTTCACTATTAAACGAAAATCGCATGCCGTGAATCAAAAATCATCTTAAATACTTTACAAGTAAATAATCTTTTTCCTTCCGGTTGGGAAATCTCGTGGATTATGGGGGCACCACATGGAGACCTTGTCGAGATCCCATATCCACGATCGGCAACAGCTTCTTATTGTGCCATAACCCTCTTTGCCCTCTTCGTGTCACTGTAGTAAGGGTCCTCCTCATAGAGACGATCCATGACAACAATCGATTTTGAAGGAAAGAAGGAGTTTAAAGGGGTTTTCGATTTGGAAGAAAAGAAGAGAAAGAAGAGAAGGGGTTTTCTTTCCGATTTGGAAGGAAAGAAGAGAAGGAGTAGATCTAAATTGTGAAGGTGGATGCTGAATTAAATAAAGGATAATGATCAATTATCTAAATTGGGGGAATTTTGATTTTGGGGAGAAATTTTAAAATATGGGGAGAAACCCAAAAATCTCAAAAATTTGGGGCATTTTCGAATTAAATCCTCGTGTGTGCGA